TGAGGTATAGCACAAGCATTTACTAATAAGTAAACTTTTGATTTATACTTTTTTATTCAATTATGATATTTCAACTTGCGCAATCTTGCCTTTTAAGCTTTGAAGGAAAAGTGAAACCTTGATCAGACTGGTTTTGATTGAAGATTCCTGTTGTGAGATATGTTATCGTGCTATACGCTCGCAAATGAATGCTCATTTATTATACTCGACTTTTTAAAAATCAACCATCGATATGATTCGCATAGCTATCTTGCCAAATGGTGATTATGCTTGCGTGAAGAAACTACAAATTAAAGAGGTTAGTTAAATAAAGTGGGACGCCTCAAGAGTAAAGATTTAGGTCGACCACCACCATTTTTTTTTTTTTTCTTTGAGAAGGTAAAGTCGCGTTAGGAGAAGAATTAGAGAAGAAAAATCTTGTGTAGACATAATTAAAAAGATGACAATTGCTTATTTTGAGTTAAGGGATAAACAAAAAGAAATAAAAAAATTAATTACAATTAAACGCGTTGCATATCTTGGACATTAAAAAATCTTTTCGCAAAATTCATCCACCAATTAAATCACGCACGTGACAATTTTAGTTTCGCCAGGTTTCGGAAATTTCGCAATTTCGGAATTGCCGAAACCGAAATTTAAAATAGGCGAAACGTTTCGCCAATTGCAAAACAGTTTCGCCCGAAACATTAGTACCTATCTTCTCCAAGGAGCAATAAATTTTTTAATGTAACATTTCTACGGTGTTTGAAGAATATAATTCTATATCGAGTATGGGAACGGAATATCCATTATTTTGGTGCTTTGATATGATACAATACCTGGCAAACAGGTTACTCCATCAAAAATTGATTCAAAGGTTTTTTCCAAGATTATGCGAAGCATAATATTCAAATACTTGGATCATTCTAACCCAACTCGTTTTCTTATTCGCTATTTTTTCGTTTCCCCACAAGTCTCAGACCATCCTATTAACACTATCCTTCATACTAGCGTTTCTGCATCAATCAAAGTATCATTTATTTATAAGGCGTTACTCCCGTTAATGTTCGTACTTTTTCAAATAATTCGAATTCCAATGGTGTCATACGTTCGTTAAAAAATATATTGCTAAGCCATTTTATTAATATAAGCTGTGAATCTCGTTTACCACGATTACCGGCTTTAAGCCCTTTTCGTTCTTCTGGTGTGCCATCTTTATTAATAAAACACTTTGGAACATGATGTCCAATTATATATCCGATAATTTGTGTTGCTTTTTACCTTCTCCTATGGCTAAATATGACTGTGGTATCGGAAACTCGAAACTAGATAAATTGAATGTTTCAATTAAATCCTCGCATATCC